GCCTATATTATACCATTCTTTTTGATATCAATTTATCATTTCACATTAAATACAATATCTGATGTCAGACTTTTTCCAATATATAATGGAATATAATAAATACAAATACACGTCACTACTTTTGATGTTATTCTTTGACTATGCAGTACAGTAAACATATTTAAAAGAACAAAACATGTTTTACATGGTGGTCACCTTTAAATTTAATATGGCTGCTAAATGGCCTTGACCTAAAATGGCTGTCATAATGACCTGTGATGAAATAGTTCCTATCAAAAATTGAATTTTGTGAGCTTATGTATTATTTTGCTGTAACACACGACCACTTACAAACTATTAAGATTTTCTACGTATTTAACAGAAAAATAAAATTGAATGACCCTAAATGACCATCTGACCATGTCACAAGTGCTATAAATCATTGACCATGAAAATATATTTTTAGACATCGTAATTCTTATTGGAAGTAGTTTAAAAGTCGATATATTGATAAATATATGTTTTGCGTGGCAGCCATTTTGAAATTCAAGATGGCCGCCAGAATGACCTCAAATGAAATATTGTAGTTCATAGTAAAAATTTTGAATTCTGAGATCGTGGGTATGATTCTAATGTAAAATTTGACAATTACATAATTTTAAAGATACCATACAATATTTGACCTTGAATGACCTTAAATGACCCATTTGTGGCAATCTGACCAGGTCAAATATGATATGATGGTATTCCTCGAACATATAAGCATACTCTTAGACATTAGAATTATAATTCAAAGTGATTTAGAAGCGGAGATATAGATAAAAATAGGTTTTATAAGGCTACCATTTTGAAATCCATGATGGCCGCCATAATGATCTCGGATGAGGTGGTTCCTACCAAAAATTGAATGCTATGACCATAAGGAGCATGTAAAATTGGTACTTTTGTCCGGAACGTCCACATTAAGTCCAAATATGGCCCTATAAGCTGCCGTACTATCTAGTATACTTCTAATTCTACAGTAATTGGAACCAGGGAGATATACTGTATCTCTCTGCTGGAAACCTCGGTTAGGTATACTTGTCCAGGGTAATTACTAGTAATAATTAATTATAATTAGTATAATGACTGTAATTTTTATTAATTAAATATTCAATAAGTTGTAAGACAGAGGGTGTTTTTGGTAGGTAGAGAAGAAGGTTTAAACATGTGGTGATTAAGGGTTTTTTTCTCTTTTGTGTGGCGTTACAACACATTCATTTCATTTTATTTCAAAATATTAAACTAATAAATAATATAATCATATATAAGATCTAATAATGATGTATAAATTAGTTGTACAATATTTTTTCTCACAATAGTTAATAAATATTTCAATGAGTACAATTTTTTCAGCATTGCCAAATTGTAAGGATCAAATTGCTCACTGACCTTTTTACATGTAGATATAATAGTGTACATCTACAAATTCATATTCATATAATCAGATTATACAGTCCATTTTCCCTAATAACAATGCTAGTATATAATTGCATCTGAGACGATACTAATGCACGCCATCTTGTTGGGATTCAATATTTCTACATTAAATATGTCATCATCAGGAATTCCTCCTGATGATGACATAATTAATGTCGAAATATTGAATCCCAACACGATGGCGTGCATTTCAATACTTGGAGTATGTATTATACTTTCTTATCTGAGATTAATTAGTGGACCTTCCGATATTTCTATTAACTATTGTTTTCAGCAACAGTGGCATATCTAGGGTTAAGGAAGAGGGTGGGTGTCAGGGCCAGCCACGAGAATTGAAGCGATCAGGACCAGGATGCCAGCGAAGCGAGCACTGAGGCTGGGGCCAGTGGGCCACCGAGGGCCCCCAGACGGGTTTCAGGGGCCGGAGGCCCCGGAATAAATTGGCTATTTTTCCATTGTATATGCCCCCACACTAATTTTAATGTTCTATAGTAGAAATCTAATAGGCCTATATAGTTTTAAAATATTTTTTATATAAAAATACAGGGACGGTTTTGGGGGGCCGGGGCGGCCCCATTTTGGGAGGTGAAAAAAGGAAAAATAAAGAAAGAAAAAGAAAAAAATGATAGCCTAGAACACCGTGGTGACGCCGGTAGGGTCAATTTTCGTCGGAAGATATTAAGATGATTGGACTAAATTCTTGCTTATGTTAACCATATGCTTACCTGAGATTATACTGACACTGGTTTCAAATCACGGTCAAATAGTTAAATTTCACCTCAAATAACCTTATTTTGCGAATTAGCGCCCCTCAA